TTTGCTGTTGATTTTGACTAGCTTAATTGCTTGCCTTCTTAAAGTTCCAACAAATGCAACTCCAATGGAAAGGGAGCCTACATGCTATATCTTGAGTATACGCTTCATTAACTTGATCCTCATGCTTATCATTAACTGCAACCCCCTTAGGCTCATGGCTCACCAATTATATGGCATTACCCCTTGACTACATGACTTGAGCCAAGGGGCCCTCATGGCAAGTTTAAAATTCATAGCTAATCCATGCCTGTGAACACATGAGGCTCTTGGAGTGTTTGCCTTGATTGTTCCTTTACATGGAGGAGTTTTCTTGTAGCAAGTGTTATGTTGCAGCTTCCAGTCTGAAAAGATGCTCAATTCCCTACAACACAATGGCTTCCGCAAGATTCCATCCTGTAGTAGGACTTCATATGCTTAGATTCAGCTTAGTGGCCTAGACTGGAGGTGACCAGGTGGAAACATGCCTCCCTTATGAGAGATTTTGGATAGAAACACCTAAAAGTGAAGTGAATAGACTATTTCAACGAAGGAATCATAATACCCATATCCATATCCGCCAAACTCCAATGAGACACCATTTTATACTTGGACTTCATATTAACTATTTGAAATCCCATTTTCTATGCACTTTTATTTAAGGTTGTTATCCTTTCTTGACAGCCAATGAGTATGGTGTTACCTGGAGTTGTTGGATTCAAGTTATCAGGCAAATTGAAAAATGGTGTCACAGCTACTGATTTGGTTTTAACAGTCACACAAATGCTAAGGAAGCATGGTGTTGTTGGGAAGTTTGTTGAATTTTATGGTAAGTTTACTTAGCCTGGGTTCGTTTAAACTCGGTAGTTTTACAAGGGAATGAGAATGAATTCCATTTTTCTTATGTCTAGGTGATGGTGTGGGTGAAATATCATTAGCTGACAGAGCCACCATTGCAAACATGTCTCCTGAGTATGGTGCTACAATGGGGTTCTTCCCCGTAGATCATGTCACTCTACAATATCTCAAATTAACTGGGAGAAGTGATGAGACTGTAAGTACCTTTTGTAATGAATATAAATGATTTATCACATGCTGGTCCTTGCTTTTGAACCTAATTACTCTCAACTCTATACTAATTAGGTGGCAATGATAGAAGAATATCTACGTGCAAACAATATGTTTGTTGAATACAGTGAGGTAGGGCTTATTATTTTATAATCCACACTTCTTACTGTGATCTATCATAGTTTTGACACGGCACTCATGTCTTTATTTTCCTACAATTCAGCCTCAACAAGAAAGAGTATACTCATCTTACCTGGACCTAAATCTAGAAGATGTTGAACCATGTATCTCAGGGCCAAAGAGGTGTGCAATGTGGCTTATGCATTTACTTTGATTTTTAAAGTTACATATGATCAGTGGTTGCTAACTATTGTTTTATCATTCGTTATAGACCTCATGATCGGGTACCTTTGAGAGAAATGAAGGTTGATTGGCACTCATGCCTTGACAACAAAGTTGGATTCAAGGTGAGGATATAATGC